CAGGGAGCCCGATGCGGGGCTCGATCCCAGGACCCCGGGATCATGACCTGAGCCGAAGGCAGACGCTTAACGACTGAGCCACCCAGGTGCCCCTTTTTTACTGAAATTTAAATAAAACCGGTGCTTTTAACTATCACAAATTACTCCTACACATTTTATATAAGCAAATAAAACTAAGTATTTCACACTCCTAGAATCCACAATCACATTCGCTGGTAAGATTTCACGTGAGTGCTATTTGCAAACTCTCCTAGTTTGAAACGTGTTTATAAACAGAAGTGAAGTGATAAAAAGATGGTTTCTGAAGGACTTTCTATTTTAATCATGTACACAGAGACACTTTTTCTAAGCTCCATTTTCTAACCTTTACATCATAGTTTTGTTTTATATAATAAGTACATTAAAAGAAGGCAGGGAAGAGTTGGAAATGTGTATAATATACTTCCACTTAATTTATTCTTAAGTTTAACTACTTATTTTACATAAAATCTACTGCATTCATTAGGGATACAGAATAAGAACCAGGTTTACACATATTTTGAAATAAATACAGTAATGGTTTGAGGGCAAAAATTGCTAAAATTATTAACTCTGGGGGTATAATTTTTCTACACAAAAGGATGTTATCAATATGTTACAGTGACATGTATGTCTACATAAAGTTTTCTAGATTTCAAAATGCATTTTTGCTTGTAGGTATGACTTTAAGAATCTCCCTAATTGGTAATAATCATAAAAGTTTTTGATAAAAATTTTATACTGAGGTTCTACAATCTATTTTTGTACTAAATAAAGCACTAACGTAACATTTTATATCTTTATTCATAATCCTCAAAACACTGTGAATGGTGTTGGGCTACAGACTTGAAATTTAAAAATGTGACAAATAGTACATTCTATAATTTAAAAACTTAAAAAAAATTTTTTTTTACAATGTTTGTGTATTTAAGTAATCTCTACACCCAATGCAGAGCTCAAACTCATGACCCCCAGATCAAGAGGTGCATACCAGCCAGGCGCTCCATATTCTGTAATTGTATAAAGGCTTCATTAGGAAATATAACTCCAGGGGCTGCCTGGAAAAATCTGTGTGCCTCTCTAATTTTGAAATCTGCTCTGAGAGAGTAAGGAGGACTAATGCAGGATTTCCAAGTTATGAAGACATACAAAACGTACCCGAGTTCCCAAAGAGGAAGGAACAAAGAGAGTTCCAGTTAGTATGCATAAATCGAACAACTGCTGTAGCACTGGCTTGACTCATTTATCTGTGTCCACACTGATTGGGAAAAACTTTTACCCTTTTTAGAACCAAAGATCTTAAAAATTTTTAGATATGAATATGGACTTTGTAGGTGGGATACTAGGAGTTGAGAACACCAACATTTATTATGAGATTAGAAGCAGAAAGAAATGCTTCCCAGAAAAAGACCTACTTTAAGTAGACCACTTGTGAAAGAAGAATGTAAAGGATTTTACTCTGTTAAAAAAGAGTTCTGTTTCAAAAAAATTTAGTGCCAGTTTAAGCTCTTTTGTCATAAAGTATGCAGGTAACTGTATTTTTGTTTGGGAGAGGATTCCTGCTAACTTATTTCAAATGTTTGAATAACAAGAAGATATTTTTGTGTTTTGATCCCAAAGAAACCAGATTTCACAAATATGAAGTGAAAGCTATTTACCTAGGTTCAAAGAATGTACAGGAAGCACATTTAACATCGTCTTCTTAGACAGATGAAAAATAGTATTACTACTGTGTTACCACTGCACCTACGGAGAAGTGTTCAGCCTTTTGTTCTTACGTACTTCCCTGACTTAAGAGGGCTTGAAAAAGTTCAACAAAGAAATAAACAAGATGAATTTAGTGCTGTGCTTCTAGGAAATTAAAGAAATCGAAGTACCCAATTACTGTAGTAACCATCTCTGCAAAGCTTTCATCATGGTATCTTTATCCATTATGGCATCTTCCTTGAGGTAATATCACTGAGATTAAGAAGAGAGGTGATACAGGTAAAATCTCACTATAATAATGAATTTCATGTTCACTGCAATAAAATCTGAAGTAGTAAGTGTTACTTACTATTGGGGCAGTGACTCGGGCATTCGTGACCACACTGACAATTCGAATCTACCCTAATGATCTGCTCTGTTTATTGTTTTTAGTTATGACTGCATATCAAAAATAATTGGGAAACAAGGGGCAATTAAGTTGGATGACAAGAATAAACACAAGCCAAATTTACCATTTTAGTAGGCTCAAAATTTGATACACTAGGAAATATTACTAGTAACATCTGCTATCACTTTAAAAAACAAAAGACTGGATCAAAATCACTAAGGCAGGTTTCATCTGCTTTAATAGTGTTCACTAGTTTTAATCAGACTAAAATAATTTCAGGAATCATGCCCTTGATTTTTTTGGACCTAGAGTTGAAAATAAGCTGACATACACAGCATCTTAGCAAATGAACTATGAAAAATGGAGATAAAGCACATTTAAAATAAGAGATGATGGCACACCAATTCTAGCCTTTTCTTCCACCTCCCATTTGAGTCACTCAGTATGTCAAATGGAGGCTAACTGGATTTTTCTAACATTATCAATACAGAAATTTTTATTGATGATAAAACAAAAATGTAATGAACAAAATTCTAATGAACAAAAGTCCAGAAGGATTCAAAGACTGCTCAGACCTCTTTTCTCTTACTCATGTGAAAGGAATACAACTATGCTTATTGTTACAGAGTCAGAGGGATTTGTTGGATAGAATAATTTATTAATAACAAATTAACAGTGTACTGTTAACCCAAAAGAAAAATGGACAGGACATGAATAGTCAATTCACCGAAGAAATGCAAAAGGCCAAGAAGCAAAAATACTACTTTTAGTCTATCAGACTGGCAAAAATTAGCTGAATTATAATACTCAGTGTCAACGTAACAAAAGAAAACTGAACTGGGAGTGTAGCTGGTTCAACTTTTTAAATGAACAGTTTGGCATTAAGAATAAAAAAACCTCAGAAGTGTTTATGGCTTTTGTCTTAATTCTACTTCTAGAAATGTATTCTAAGGAAATAACTGTACAAAGTGTACAAAGATATATATATACACACACATGGATGTTCTGTATATCAGGATGCTCCTGTAACACTATTTATAATATTTATTTATAATAGAGACAAACTGAAAATAAATGTTCAATATTAGGTGAGTAGGTAAGTCCTGTATGCACATCCACAGTAACAGACAAGGAGATTAGGACCCATGTTTACCGATGGGAAAATGGGCTTAATTATAAACAAAAAACCAAAAAACAAAACAAAAAAAAGCTGGTTACAAAATAGTATATACGAAATTGCCTACTTTGGTAGAAAAAGACAATTACTAAAGTGTGTGTGTTTATCAGTATGTGATTTTATCTACCCTACTTTCTAGTTCTGCTAAATTAGAAGGTATTATTGTACAATAAACAGGGGAGGGGTTAAATAAATAATTACCACAATAATAAAGTGTCACTATGGACATAAAGGGGGGAAAGAGCTTAACTGCAAGAGCCCAAGTCTGCTAATGACAACAAATACTTTAGCAAGGACAATAAATACTTAAAGAGCTCAATGTCATTTTTCCTGCAATTTTGCCTCTTTTGGCATATAAAACAGTACAATAATTAAAAGCTAAAAACAGAATCTGAATTATCATGAACATCATATATTTAAAAAATTTCACCAGAAAGATCTTTCTCAACTTATACACAAGTTACACAAAATATTAAAAAGTATGCTACAATTTGGCAAAGTCTTGTAAAAATCTGGGCTCCTGTGTCTCTAATATATTCATCTATACTTGAAGAATTTCAGGTGTTTTAAAGCTCTATAGCTTGGGTCCAAGGTGGGCATTTTGAAGCCTTAATTCTTAGGCATCTATTGTGGCTTACCCTCTTTTACTGCTCTCATTACATTTTCATTTATAGCCTGTGTATTTGTATAATTTAAGGGTACATGGTGACCAGTACTGATGAGCTTTAGTCTGTTACTTTATTATTTTAATGCCGGGTGGAGTGTAGCAGAATAAACCAAAGTATCCCAATATTATCTAGTTTTGTCACTGATTTATTGCGAATATGAGATGCTTTTAAAAAGCTTTCATAAATGAACAAAATTAAGAAATACTGGAATAAGTTTGGTTCTGGGCGATTTCTGATGCAGAACTGATACATCTCTTTCTCAAAAAAGTTCAAGGAGAAAAAAAGCAGCAAAAGTAAAAAAATACACTTTGAGTCTTAACCTTCATTTTCTTCTTTACTGCATAGTTAAAAAACAAATGTAAATTTTATTCATAAGTGTAAACTAAGAAATCTGTTCTAAATTATGACTTTAAAAAACAATTACAGAATACAGTTGACCCTTGAACAATACGAGTTTGAACTGCACAGGTCCACTTATATGTGGATTTGTTTTAATAAATATAGAGCAGTACTGTAAATGTATTTTCTCTTCTTTACAATTTTCTTAATAACATTTTTCTTTCTCTAAGTTACCTTATTGTAAGAATACAGTTATATGATACAGATAACATAAAATATATGTTAATCAACTGTTTATATTATTATAAACTATTACGAACTATTAGTAGTTAAGTTTTTGGGGAAGCAAAAGTTGTATGTGGATTTTTGACTGAGGGGGGGTCGGTGCTCCAACCCCCATGTTATTCAAGGGTCGAGTATACTCTGATAGAGAAAAAATAATGTAGAAAATTTTGATTATTCAAAGAAATTGTATAATAATAGCTAATAGATAGCTATATAATAGCTAATAAAAGCTCACACATATCTAGCATTTACAAAATGCCAGGCTTTAGCGAGATCACAGTCCTAGCTAAATCACAGAAGTGAAGCACAGAAGAGTTAAAAAAGTTGTCCATGATCATACAACTAACCAGGATTTAAACTCAGTCATTCACACTAGAGAGCTCAGCTTCTTAACATAAGCTAACATAATGTAAAATACAATCACCATAAAAATACAAAGCTGAATGGCAAAGATATAAGGATTGAAAAACTTTAAAAACTAATGCTGATATTAAAAAACATTCCTTCGATAATACTTTGACTTTATTATGGAGGCAGGGACTGCAATCATCTAGCTTCCTGTCTTAAATCCCTAAATACTTAATAATGCATCTGAACAAGAATATTAATTTACAACATTCAAGGGTAATGTGCATAACAAAAATAAAATCAGTTCAATGGAGCTTAGTTTGACAAGAGTAATGAGACAAATATTTTAAAAAGAAACTTCCTTGTTGAATTATGAGATACTTTAAATTAGATTAGAAGTGGGGCTGCTTAAACCTGCTTTTATGCTGTAACGTATCCTGTAAACCATGCTCATCAAAGTTGCTGAATCCTGTCTGAAGAAATAGATACTACATGGTATTTAAAAACCAGGTATCTTCTACTTGTTTCACTTCAATTTGAAATCTTACAGGAGTACCTCCTATATGGCAAAATTCCAAGCTATTCACAGCAGAGGATACAAAGGGCACATGCAAGCCTGACAGAGGAACTATTTAGTAGATAAGGAAGGCCTTTTTTTTGCCTTTTTAATGCTTATTGTTACTATTTAAAACTCTGAACCAAAACAAGTGGCCTAACCAAAAGATATCTAGGAACTGGGAAAGCAGGCCGAAATATAGCACAGACAGACTCAAGTCCACTCTATACAGTCATACAGTACCTGGGAGCTGAATCTGTGAACATCGTCAGAGGCACTGACTAGATCAATGGAAGACATGGAGGAAGAGCGACTATAGGGCTACCAGAGACAGACAAAGAAAAAACCAAGTAATCAGAACAAAGGCACAACAGAGCATTCAGTACCAACTTCCAAACACAAGATAAAGAAAGAGAGAACAAAGCACTATATGAAACAAGCTTAGCAGCAAGTGCTGACTTCATGCACCTATTATGGTTTATGCTCCAAAATCTTTCTAAAAAGAATGCAGTGCTTCCAATAATACAAAATAATATCACTTAACCCCAAAGAAAAAGTGATTTAACATAACTGGTTCTGCTTCTGGTTAACTATTTTGGACTAGCCATTCCCTATATCCCCCATCCCCCCTTTCCCCTTAAACAAAAAAGAAAGAACATATTCAGAAGAAAATTTCTAACTGTTTTGGAGGATGTATATGGAAGAAAGTACACAATACCAAAAAAATCTCATTCCTAAATTCAAGAAAAGGGAAAACTTATACAACAAGATAGTTCCATCAACAGTGAAGAACAATATATATTTCCAGTAAACTCTGACATTAGCTTACCTTTTGGACAAATCTGTGAGTCCCCACAGAAGAAAAGGCATCTCCAGATGGCATGGACGTAGGCCAGTGTAATCTGACCTTTTCACTCTGTGACTAAGAAAACATATAACATTAGGTGGGAGGGTTTTAAGGTATACTTTGCAGCTTAAGAATGAATACTATAACCTGAAACTACCAACATTTAATGACTGAACACTTTAGTACTTATAAATATTTGAATTACAAAAATACTCTGAAGGTTCAAGCCTTGCCATGCCCTGACACTTACTTCATGTATTCTAATTCAATCTCTTCTTTCAGACTCCATACATACCACTTTGAGTAGGGATTGGTTCTTTGAATTTGCCAGACTCTCCAATACCAGTATGGCATCATTTACCATGAATCCGTATTAACACTGCTGTTGAAGTAATTTCTTATATCTAAACTCTGGCCAAATTATTCTAATCATTCCACTTCATCAGGGTTGTGCAGGGCCATACCATTTGAACCACTGTCATTTGCTTCAGTTGTGTTACAAAGAACATAGCATGGATATCTTTATCTCCTTTCCATGAACGTGTTCAGCCTTCAACCCACTGTGTCACTCCTGTTAAACTGCCACTTAACTTCCTTCCTCCTCCTGAACTTGCCCAGTTTCTTCTCACTTATTCAGTATCTACTAAATATAAAGTACCAGAAGCCATGCTGTGTTGTGTGTGTGCTCATCTTCTAACTATGCAGAAGACAAGTGGTAATTTCTATTCAACACTATCTGAACAGAACTGCTAAGATCTCATTGCTCACTCACCACTTCACTGAAAATTTCTTTCCTTATGTTGGTAAATAATGTAGAATCATGTAAACTCAAAAATGTGTCACTGAAGAATACCTTAGTAGTGGCTGTGCTGCTGGGAGTCCTGTGCAAAATTTACTGTATACAACGAGGGAAATGATCTGAATCTTTGGAACTAATTTCATGGATTACTGACGCTTACTATTCTAGAGCATTACCACACTATAATTACCCTTGTGATATCAACATGCCCATGAGGTGAGATCATGAGATCATGGTCTGTTTAATGACCCATTTTGCAGAGTATCTACCACAGTGTCAAGAACAGACTAAAATCAAATAGACCCATGAATATTTTTTTTTCTAAAGTTTACAAAAGTTTTCATCGATCCTCTTAAACTCCAACTCAACCACTGTATTTGGTAGAGTAGCATTTTAGAGTCAGAAGTGATGATTTGAACCATCTTGTGTAACTCCTTGTTTTACATATTAGAAAACCAAGGCCCAGAGAATTTAAGCAGTAAGTTTACAGCCACATAGTCACTGGCAAGACTAAGACTGAAGTTGTCTTGACCTACTCTCCCCAAAATACCACAACTTAGATTAAAACAAAAACAAAACAAAAAAACATCAACGTGAAGAATAAGAAGAAAAAAAAAACATTTAAAAAGCCAACACTAAGATACTTCTTCAGGTAATACTTTAGGCATCTAAAAATGGAGCTCATTTAGGAACTGAAAGCTTCCATTCTTATTGAATGCTGCATAGCATCTTTTTTCAGCATAAAAAATGACTAATAAGCTTTATAAATGAATGTAACAAAAACTTTTTATCACTGATTTAGAAAAAAAATAATGAAAGATAAACATGAAAAGCAAAAGTCACTATTGCAGGTGATTTACCCTCAGGGAGACAGACCAGTGAATAGGCATAATGGCCATGACTACCTTAGCAATGACAGGAATGAAAAAGCCAACTTTTCTATGCAAGTTCATTTGTAGTATAACCGATACATTTACGAATTTATTTGCAAGATACTTAAAGCCCTGGGAAGAGTAACTAAAATTCACCCTTAAGTACCATCTAGTGGTAATATATGGTAACTGCATTGTTACAGAATTAAAAGGATGCAAAGGATCAAATTAATCCTGAGACAGAGTTGAAGGATTTAAGAAATGTTTTCCTTCAATTTCCACAGAAATAGCTGGGTATAACTGCTGTGAATTTGATAATAATAAAATACTGAGCAAAGTTAAAAGTGAGGAAGATATCAAAGGTGAAGGTGGTGAAAGCAATAAAGGAGTTAATTCTTGGTCATCTTCCTTGTGAATTCATATGGTTGGTAACTGTGATACAGAGAAATTCAGACTGTTTCACTCAGATTAAACATATGCTTGTTCTTAATAGACAATAAAGTTGGATACTTCAAGGGGAATAGGCAGAATATTTCCATTTAGTTTCATGTTAATTATGCATGATTCCTTTAAGTGATCAGTGGTCTCCTTTCTACTGCTTAAAAATTCATCAATGAAGGAACTGACTTGTAAAGATTCTTCTACATTTGTGACTCAGTACAGACACAGTTCATTTTCTAGGTTCACAGTTCATTTTTATTAGGTTCAGTTTTCAAATTCCATTTATATAAAATAACATACATCAAGGAATGCCTAGTGTTAGAATTTTTAATAAAAGATATACCTGTTCCTCTATTTTATCTTGTCTGTCAAGAGCAGCTTCCACAGCATCAAAGAACTCTTCTTCATTAATCAGACTGTTTGGACCTTCCTATTATTCAAACACATGGGAGAAAAAAATCACTTAAAGAAAACAGAAAAAATTTCCCTTATTAAAAAGCAACTTAAAAAAAAAAACCCTTTTATCTCATCATGCTTACCATGCAAAAGAACTATTCATTACTAAATCTACAGGACACACCAATCTTTATGCTTACTTGCCCCATTAGCAGCATTTATGTGAATGACTCTCTTTGAAGAGTTCTCTCGCCCCTTGGATCCTAATTTCCCAGTTCCTCTCTACCCAAGCCTCTTCTTTGGAATTAAATGTGGGTGTTCCTCAGGGTTCCACACTTGCTCTCCCCACAGCACTTACTCATTTCTAAGGCTTTGGTCATCATGAGGTGATTCCCAAATTCATAGGTTATCCATCTCTCTCCTAAGTGTTAGACCTTTGCATCCAATAATGCTTAAGACCTCCTCAGGTTAATGATGCAGTTCACATGCAACATGTCTAAAACCTGTTTCTTCCCCTGCCTCTACACCAATCGAAAGCAGACTGCTGGGCCTGTCCTGGATTCCTCCCGCTCCCCTCATTCATTCACCACACCCTTTAATCTTACTTTCTAGATATCTAAGTTTATCAGTGTCTATTCCTACTACTCTATGTTAATTTAGGCTATCTTTAATTCTAACCTGCAAGACTGAAAAAGTTTGGGAAGCCCCCAGTTCACAACTGTCAACTTCAATCCATTCTCCTCACTGCAGGGACCAAGAATGATTTTTCTAGACTGTAAACCTGAAAACTTCACTTGCTTAAAATCCATTGCCCGAGGCTCTATAAGGATTCTTCTGTAACTTGCTAGCCAGTCTAACCACTCCCTCCTCTCCATCAGCTCCACCCTCCAAAGATAAGGCCTTTCAGTTTCCCTGGGGCAAAATGCCTTTTTTTTTTTTTTTTTGCTTCTGGTTTCCAAATTTTTTCCTTCTTCTCAGCCCCTACAAACAAACACTCTAGGCTACTCACCTGGTTAATAGCTACTCAGCCTACTCATTCTTACGGTTTTACCTAAGATGTTGTTTTCTCTGGGAGGCCATCATCCCCGCCTCAAAAACCTCTTAGTGCTAACAGTGCTTCATAACTGCCTGTTAACTAGCCTGTTTTCCCATTACATAGGTAGGGCCCTCAGGCAGGATCATGTATATCCCCATGCCTAGTACAGTGTCTTACATATACAGTAAACCTTAAGGAATGAATTTAAGATTAAAAAGTAATTTCTGAAACTACAGATGACAGAAACATTTAGGTTTTGTTCAATAATGAGAACATCGTAAATGTTTGATAAGAACCAAAATAAGGTTATAATCTGAATCAGTGTCTAAAATCCATGCAAAAGTAGTACTCACACAAGAATATAGAATAATTTAGAATATAGGGGCGCCTGGGTGGCTCAGTCATTAAGCGTCTACTTCCGGCTCAGGTCGTGATCCCAGGGTCCTGGGATGGAGCTTCACATCTCGGACTCCCTGCTCAGCAGGAAGCCTGCTTCCTCCTCTCCCATTCCCCCTGCTTGTGTTCCCTCTCTCGCTATATCTCTCTCTGTCAAATAAATAAATTAAAAAAAAAATCTAAAAAAAAAAAAAATAGAAGGCTCAAAATATCAAAAGGGGAAAAAAAGTATAAAAACAGAGGCCCTAAAGGCCCTAGTTCACTTAAGAACTGGATATTTAACTTGATACCACAGGGGGTCAGTGAGAAAAAAACTGAAGTACCCTTAACCATTTTCTTCATTAAAAGAGAAAGAGGGAAGTACATTTTAGATGGATGGAAATGATCGTTTATTTAACAAATGCCACTAAAATAAAACACAGATTCCTACATTATACCATAATCTTAAAAAATCCAGATGTACTAACAATATATTAGAAGAAACCATTAAAAACCCAGTAAATATAATTAAAGTAGGGAATGTTTTTTTAAGCATGATACCAAATGTAGAAGTAAGTACATCAAAAGACTGAGGGATTAATTACATGAAAGTATAAAACTTTTATATGACAAAACCAACAATCAAAAGTTTAAAAAACTAAAAAAGGAAAAAAATAATGGAAAAATGAAAAGCTAATCCTCCGTATCTTCTAAATCAACAGAGGAAAAAAAATTCTAAAACCAGATAAAAATATTAAGGGGCATGGATAAGTGAGTCATTAAAGAATAAATGCCAATGACCAGTAAACTTTTTTTTTTTAAGAAAGTCTACCTAATCATATTAATAAACAATAAAAAAAAAATCTGAAACTAGTTAACAAATGTACTTATTAGCACAACGTACCTCTGATGAGGGAACAGAAGGCAAGCTGAAGACAAAGCACAAGCTGACACCCTGCAACCTCCCCCCACCCCCTATTCCTGGGTGGGACATGTATGACATCCTTCCAGGAATCTCCCAACTATCTTAATGTTAATGCCTTGCTAGAGGAGAAAACAACTTTGACAATGGCAAGGCCTCCAGTATCCCCCGAGTCTTCTTTAACACCTGAAAATCCTTTTGAAACCACCCTTTTTCCTAACCTCCCCGACCCCATAGTATATAATCAGCTCCCCTACAACCCCAGGGGCAGCAGCTCCTTCTGCCCAAGGGTCCTGTGTCTGTGCTTTAATAAAGCCACCATTCTACACCAGAGACGTCTCAAGAATTCTTTCTTGGCTGTTGACTCGAGACCTCCCCCCACCAAACTTCACCTATATTCCAAAACCACATCATATGGTGCCCAACGTGGGGCTTTTGAGTCTTTGCATCTGAACTCTGAGCTTCGGTACAAACTTGGTGAGTACTTTCTCTTTTCCTTTACTTTCAATTTCTGTAGCTCTTCAAGGAGTATGGTCTTATTGGAACATTTTCATGTCAACAGCTCAGGCTGTAATCCTCTAGCCCATGGCTACTCTCTGGGGAGGAGAAAGCCTGCCTTTTGGCTGGAAGTTAGTGCCCTGTCCGGGATGGTAATAAGACCCAGAAACTTGATGCCCACTCTTTATTCCTGTCCTTATACAAAGTTGTCTGTCTTGGGGACACCTAAGTCACCAGGATGGCTGCCAACCTTAAGACTCCCATGTGAAGTTTCCTCCTGACTGATCTAATGTGATCCCCTCCACATCCCTGGTCTAGCTGCTTCTGGCCGTGGGACCTCCACTGGGAGCCAGCTGAAACCAGTACCAGATGGAATTAAAACCCAAATGGGGACCATTTCCTAGGGAAGTTGACTTTAAGACCACATGTGTTGGAATGTCACTTAGACCATGATGGATTTCCATCTTTACTATTCACCATCAATGTCCTCTACTAACTACTTAAAGCTACAAAATTTGGTAATTTCCCCCTTGTAAAACTTTTCCAGTATCTTCCATGGGTTAGAAATGGCAGGGCAGTATGCAACCATCAGGGCACAGGACGGCACAGCATCGTTTTTCAGTCCATTCACCAGGCACCCATAGGCAGTCTAGGATGTGATTGGGGGGGGAAGGGAGGGATGCCGGCATCCCTTCAGGGCCTTTTATGGCAGGAATGCCTTCACAGGAAGGCAGGATGGTGATCAGCAGTGATTTTTGTTTGAGGGATGACTCTGGTCACTTTTGACACACGAAACCTCTGACATAACCTGTGTGGGACGCCACCTGGGAGTCAGGGGGGATTTGGTAATGGACCTCCTTTACTTTTCTGGGAGCATGGCCTCAGTAGGCTTCTTCTTCGGTTCCCAAGGAAGGGTGCCTTTTAACCTACTGGAAACAATTCAGATTGCAAAATTTAGGAAAGGACTGAGCTCCTGTAACACTGCATGGCCTCAGGATCTGTCAGTTAGATCTCTTCTGCAGGAAACAGGGCAGATGGACCTACGGTACTTTCACTGCTTGTACGTAGGCCTTCACTGCTCTACACCAGGACCCCGACCTAAGGGCCTCTTGCAGAATGTGTTTGCCTGAATGTGTTGGCTTGTAACCCACCCTCCCCAACATATTGGATGATAATTATCTAAATAGGCCCCTCCAAGTAAACCCAGGTTTGCTGGAGGAAACACAGGCCACCCCAAAGGGGACTCTGACTCTCTCTCACTGTTCTTCCTAATAGATGTAGGGGCTTCTCCCTCATTTCCTGGGTTAATGGCTATAACTGGAGCCATCTGTGGTTAGTCTACCTCAGGACAAGGATCTTAAGGAATATTCCCAAGCAGCTGCTGAAACTCCCTTTGTTTTGGGGAAATTCCCTGTCTTCTTTCGGACATGGACTGCTTATTCCCCCCCTTGTTGGCGGGGAAACGTGGCGTCTGCTCCTCTGTTGGAGCTGGTGAGCTCTAGAACCAGGAACCCTCTTCTCTGCCTTCTGGCAGCACTTTGCCTCTTTTTTTTTTTTTTTTTTTAAAAAGATTTTATTTATTTGACAGAGAGAGATACAGCGAGAGAGGGAACACAAGCAGGGGGAGCGGGAGAGGGAGAAGCAGGCTTCCCATGGAGCAGGGAGCCCGATGCGGGGCTCGATCCCAGGACCCTGGGATCATGACCTGAGCCGAAGGCAGACGCTTAACGACTGAGCCACCCAGGCACCCCAGCACTTTGCCTCTTCTATCTCCCCCTCCCTCTTCTCCTGTTTTTGCACCACCTTGGGTGCGACCTGCATAACTGGCTTCTAGACCATCCTCAGTGCCTCAGGCACCATGGCTCCTTCTCCCTTCACTGTCAAGGAGCAAGAAGAGCACCCCCTGGACTTAATACCACCTACTCCAGATTTCCCCACTAGTGTCTCAGGTAAAAACTGACAATGGAGAGGACCCAGGTGGAACATAATTCAATATTTAAACTAATTTAAGGTTATTGGTTTAATTAAGATAGACATGTCTTTTAAGTTATCAGCAGTAAACGTGAAACTTTTATTCTATCCAGGTTTGCTGAAGGTCAAATAAGCTCGTGTTATCTCTTTGCAAATTGTTTAGCAAAAAGATGACTAAAATGATGATTGTCTCAAAGTTTTCATGGGTAATTGTTAAGATAGCTTTCAAAGT